GCGGCGCCGCCGCGAAGATGGCCGCCGCGGCCAAGGACGCCGCGGACACGGCGGACCTCGCGGGATCCGCGCTCGACGCGTTCACGGCCCTCGGCAACACGGCCGCGTCCGCGGGGCTCCTCGCCTTCAAGGCCGCGAAGAAGCAGCTCGACAAGTAGGCCCCCGCTCTAAAAGAGACGGGCTTACGCGAGGCCGTCGCGGAGCGCGCCGGGCGGCGCGTCGCGCGGCACGTCGGCCCGCGCGGCGAGCGCGCGCCTCGCGTCGTCGACGAGGGGGAGCAGGTCCAGCGCGGCGATGTAGGACGCGTGGTCGCTCAGCGGGTGGTCCGACGTCGGCACGACGCCCTCGACCATGCCGACGCACGCGCCGCCGGCTTCGAGCACGGGGCCGCCGCACATGCCCATGCCCACGGGCTCGGCGCCGTCCGTCTCCGCGAAGTGCTGCGTGTTTAGCGTTTGGACCTGCGAGGACGGATCGCTTTCCGGAATACGCGCCCGCCGCTCGACGCCGGTTCGGACGTAGCTCGCGCCGACGCGGAACGGCAGCATGGGCCGCGCGTCGTCGTCGTCGTCGAGGTCGTCGTCGCCGACGGCGTGGCCGACGACGTCGACGCGCTCGCGCGCCGCCTGCGCGCCCACGCGCAGCTCGAGCGCGTCGCCGAGCGCCGCCGCGGCGGCGCCGTCCGCGAGGCCGAGCGCCGCCGCGTCCAGGCAGTGGTGCGTCGCGAGCACGTCGGCCTCGGCGAAGCTCGCGATCGCGCCGTCGTCGCGCCGCGCCTCGACGAAGTAGCGGCAGTGCTCCGGCGTGACCTGCGCGTGCGAAACTACGCGCGCCGGCGATACGAGAAACGTCCGCGCCGGCGCGTCGCGTGCGAGATCCAGTACTCCTCGCCGAAGTAGTGCGGGAAGCGCCACGGCTGCAGGACGTGCGCCGAGGCGATGATGATCGGCTGCGCGCCGGCGACGAAGAAGCCGGAACCGCGCGACAGCACCTCGTGCTTCTCCATGTGTGCGGGTAGCCGGAACCACGCACTCACAGCGACCGCCGCGCGCCGCGAGGCCATGTTTTGACTGCTCGACGACGACTGCGGGCGGGCGCGCACGATGCGCCTGAGAATTGCCACAGGCTTCAGCTAAAAGAGAGCTAGGTGCATATTGAACTTGCACATCCCGCGCAAGCTCTACGGCTGTTGAATCAAATTTGTGACGTACACGTCACGTGATCACGAACACTGAGTTCACAATCGAAACCCGAACCAGCCCGTCGCGGCGCGGTCGCGCGCGCGGCCGCGGACGACGCCTCCAGACGCACACGGAGCTGCCCGTGCAACAGAGGCTCATGCGACACGCGCGCAGTGCCTCGCGAGCAGGAACTAGAGCATAGTATGAATTTACACAGACACGCGAGGCGAGACGGGCGAGGCGAGAGCGGAGCGGGAAAGGGGGCGTCACGCGGGCGCCGTCGAGTCTGGGGGGAGCCCCCAGAGCAGGTTGACGAGGCAGCGGTGCGGCTCGTCGAGTCCGCCCTCCTCCTCCTCCTCGTCGGACATGGCGTCGAACGAGAGCCGCTTCTTCGGCATCGGCCCCGCGCCGTCGTCCGCCGGCTCGGGCTTGAGGACGCGCGGCGCGCCGTCGGGCACGTGGCGCTTGCGCTTGATGGAGCCCACGGCCTCGACGTTCTTCCAGGTCTTGGGCACCTCGAGCGTCGCGCAGTCGTAGCGCTTGAGCAGGCTCCGGTTGTTGAACGCGAGGCGCGGCGACGCGCGCGGCGCGGGCGACTCGTCCCAGGCGAAGTCGTACTGGCCGACGATGGACGGCGACGGCTGGGGCCGGTGCGCCGCGAGGCCCTGGTTCCTGCCGCTGAGCTGGGGCGGCGACCGCGGACTGTCGTCGTCGGACGGCGTGCCGGAATCGAGCTCCGGGCCGGGCTCGTGGGACACGCGCCGGATGTGTCGCTCCGGGGAGCTCAGCATGGACTGGTGGTGGCTCGCGGCGACGTCGCACATGGCGCCGGGGGCGGTCGGGCGGCTACGCGGGGCGCGCGGGGCGCGGCGCCGGCGACTTCTTCAAGGGAGAGCACCTCGGACGCTCTCCGAGGCCCTCGGGGCTCTCCGGACGGGCTTTGCGGGGCGGGGCGGCTTGGCGACAGGCCGGCGCGCGTCCCGCGAAGATCGGGGCGAGGCTGGTTGCTCTCGGAGCGGACGTCACACGGAGGGTTGATGTTTGTAAATGAACAGAATAATCGTCTTCCGAGAACACGCACTTCCGAGCGATCGGCGAGCTTCAACACGCCTGCGGCAAAATCCGTTCAAACCAAACAGGGCTCAAGATCGCTCCAATCCATGCCCCGAGCTCTGGGGATTCCTGCAACTCCACCCCCGAGTCCCCGACCACACCCAAGCCCAAAACCCCAAGTAACCCCCGGCAAAAATCTTTTTTTAATGACATTGTTCGACCACAGGCCGGCATTCTAAACCACGGGCTGCCCCGCCCCACGGCATGAACGCCCTCATCGGGATTGCGGGCCAGCTCGGCTGTCTGGCCGAGTGCAGCGACATCGATGCCTGCGACGCGCAGGCGAGCCGCGCCCCGCACGCCAAGTCCGCGACCTTTCGCGTGCGGCAGATCACGACGATTAAACACGCGCCCGGCTTCGAGGCCTACGCGCAGGACGCCATGGAGCGGTGGGTTTCTTTCGTCGCCGTCCCGCGCGAAACGACCCCGTGTGATGCGCAGGTTCCGGTCCATGCGGAGCGTGCTCGAGGCCGGGTGCTACCGCGTCGAGGCCGACGCGAGGCGCGAGTCGACGAACAACGTCTACCTGCGCGGCGCCCGCGTCCGCCCCGACGACCGAGGAAAAAAAACATCAAACTCGTAGGGAGATCTGCGGCTTCTTCCAGGACCTCGAGGCCGTGGACCTCGGGGACGCCGAGGCGAAGCTCCAGGGCGTCGCGGCGTCGCCCGCGGAGACGGTCTGCGAGGGCCCCGTGATCTACAGCTACGCGGCGTCGCGGGCGCAGGCGGGCTACGTGAGCGTCGCGCGGTGTCGCGTGCCCGGCGAGCACCGCGCCGAGTACTTCTCGCGGTCCGTGCGCATCGTCGCGCCGCGCGAGGGGTTCGTGTCCGTCCTCTACGTCGAGGACGACGACGACCCGTCGATCGTCGTCACGATCACGCGATGGCTCAGCGCGCTGGCCTTCGCCGCCGCCGAGGACGCGCGGTCCGCGGCGAAGCTCCACACGGCCCACCTCCTCGAGGACGACCAGCCGCCGGACGTCGGCGCGGGGCCCGCGGTCTGGACCGCCTGAGGCGGCGCGGCGGGCGGCGCTAAGGCGCGGAATGTGGCTCTTCTTCTCTCGAGGGCGGGGCTGCGTGTGTTTCGTCGCAGGGGGGTGGCGATGGAGGGGCGGACTCGAGGGACGCGTGCGGCGCGCCGGACCCGCCGCGCGTCGCCGAAAAAAAAAGAATTTTCTCAGGCTGTGGCTAAAACCGCCTGTCCACAGCGCCTCCCTGGAGGTGGACGGCGCGGCTCGACGCCTCCGCGCGGCGCGACCAACTCTATACCCCGGAAAAACACCATGGGCGCCGACGACGACGACCACGTCGTGCTCGAGCACGACGCGCCGAAGGACGCCGCGGCCCTCAAGGCCGAGAAGCTGGCCAAGCTCGCGAAGCTCAAGGGCGAGGCCGCCGGCGCGCCGGCGAAGCGCTTCCGGCCCGACGGTACGGAGCGCTTCAACCACATCCACCTCACGGACGACGACGACGAGCACACGGCCATCGCCAAGGGCCGCCACATCCCCGCGCCGAAGCCGCCGCCGCCGCCCAAGGTCGAGCCGCCGCGGCACCACCACCACAAGGAACAGCGGAAGCAGCGCAAGGCGAACAAGAAGATGTACCGGCACCACCGCCACATCTTCGGCCACGCGCTCAACCACATGTACCGCGACCTGCCGACGCCCGTCCAGGAGCACCCCTGGGCGTCGCTCGGCGGATTCTTCGGCGTCGTCTTCCTCCTCCTCTACTGGCTCCGGAAGCTCATCATCGAGTCCGAGGAGAAGGCGACGGTCAAGGCGAAGAAGAAGGACTTCAACCGCTGGGACCCGCGGGCCGGCGGCGCCGGCGCGGCCTGGTCCAAGGGCGCGCTGCCGCCGAGCGTCAAAAAGGCCGCGCAGCGCGGCGAGCGCGGCGCGGTGCTCCAGTGGGCCCAGGGCGGCGGCGACGCCAACGCGCGCGACGCCGACGGCAAGACGGCCCTGCACCACGCCTGCAACCACGGCCACGCGGAGCTCGCGCGGTCCCTCGTCGAGTCGGGCTGCTCGCCCGACGCGGCCGACGCCGGCGGCGAGACGCCGCTCCACTGCGCGGCCAAGGCCGGCTCCGCCTCCGCCGTGCGCGTCTTGCTCGACGCCGGCGCCGACGTCTCCGCCGAGACCTCCAAGGGCCGCGAGACGCCCGCGATGCTCGCGGGCACCGCGGGCAACCACGGCTGCGCGCGCCTCATCCAGCGCCGCGAGCGCGAGATGACCTCCAACGCCGCCGCCGGCGAGACGACGGTCCTCCGCCGCGCGGGCAAGGGCTGCGGCGACGCCACCGACGAGGTCTAGGGCCGCGGCGCCGCCGCGCCGGCCTCCCGACCCCCCGGCCTCCTTCGCGCGGCCTTCCCTACGTAACGTCGCTGCATCTTTGAGTACCGCCAGAAGAACATCGCCCGAGTCTTACCCGGGGCTCTCGCGCTCGCGCCACTCGCACGTCCAGGCGCCCTCGAAGACGAGGGGCCGCGCCGCGTCCGCCGGCGCGAGGGCCAGGCTCGGCGCCGTCGCGCCCGGCGGGACCTCGACGACCGCAGCCCCGGCGGTCCGCGCGTTCTCCGACGCGGACGCGTCCATCGCGAAGACCAGCGTCGCCGCGGTCGCGCGGTTCTCGACCTGCGACGCGACGAGTTTCGAAGGAGCGCTGGGACGTGGTGGCGGGAGGGGAGCGACGTCTAGCACAAGGGGGTCGCAGACGCGGGCGAGCGACGGCCGTCTCGACGCCGTCGCGCCGGCGGCAGACGTGGAGGACCGCGCCGCGGCCGAGGTCCGTCGGCGCGCCCGCGACGCGCGCCGCGCCCGTCCGCGCGGCCTCGAGGGCGTCGGCCGCCGCGGGGACGACGTCCGGCGCCCCGCGCTCGCAGTGGAGCGTGAGGCCGACGGCGGCGGCGCGGAAGCGCCCGCCCGTCGCGACGACCTCGTACGTCCCCGGCCCGAGCGCGGCCTCGAGGGCCACCTGGCGGCCGCAGCTCGCGCCCGACGCCGCGACGACGACGCCCTCTCGCGAGACGATCGCGACGCCGACGTCCGCGTACGGCCGGTCCGCCTGATGCGCGGCCGCGACGACCGCCGCCGGGCGGTCGAGGACGACGCGGAGCGCGCGCGCGGGCGCCGGGACGGCGACGCCGACGCGCGCCGCGCGCCAGGGGCAGCCCCGCGGCGACCGGAGCCGCGCGGCGGCGAGCGCCGATACGTCGCCGGCGAAGTCCTCGAATGTGACCCAGGCCTCGCCCGGCGCGAGGGCGTCGTCGCCGTCGAGGGCCGCGCCCGCGGCGGACACGGCCGCGCCCCCGCGGGGGTCCCGCAGCAGCACGTAGCGCGCGCCGTCGACGGTCCGCGCGTCCGCGACGGCGTAGGCGTGCGCCGCGGCGAGCGTCGACGTTTCCGCGCGCGTCGCCGCGACGACGGCGCGGCCCTCGCGGGCCCCGGCGACGAGGTCGGCCCAGGGCAGCGGCTCGCCCTCGCCGGGCCGCGCGACGTCGACGGGCGCGCCCGCGAGGTCGTGGAGCGCGTCGGCCGGGAGCCCGCTCGAGAGCCCGTCGAAGCCGCCGCGCTCGATCGCGCAGGCCTTCTCGAGGAGCCGCGGCGCCAGGGCGCCGCGCGCGAAGGCCGGGCCGTCGGCGACGGAGGGGAAGGCGTCGTCGAGGAAGACGCTCGTTTCGAGGCCCGCGGCGAAGAGCCGCGCGCGGAACCGGCGCCCGCCGCCGGGGGCTCGTTCCTCGCGGACGCGCGCCGGGTCCCGGGGCAGCGCCAGCAGCGCCGCCAGGAGCCAGCAGTCGTCCGCGGCGCCCTGGCGCGCGGGGCCGTCCTCCAGCGGCGCGTCGCAGCGGCGCCAGGCGGCGCCCGCGGGGCCGACGCGCCGCGCCTCGAAGTCGACGCGGTGCCGCAGCTCGAGGCGCTTCGACGCGTCGACGGGCGCGGCGACGCCGAGGCGCGTCGTCGCGAACGGCGCGGCGCGCGCGCGCATGGCGAGGCCCTCCGCGCCGACGACGCGCGCGTTGGCGCTGCCGCCGAGGTCGAGGCAGAAGTCGATGGCCGCCTCGCCGCCGTTGTCGAGCTCGTAGCGCACGCGCCGCTCGCCGGCGTGCTTCTCCCGCGTGGACAGCAGCGCCGCGCACGGCAGGTCCGGCAGCGCGACGCGTTTTGTTTTGCCGAAGCTGCTCATGGAGCTCTTGCAAGGCGGCAGCCCAAGAATGGGCTGCCCATGCTCTCCCACGCCGGGCGCTGCGCGACGCGCCGGCGCGCCGTTCGAAGCGCGCCGCTCGAGGCAGAGGTACGCACATCAGCGCAAAACACACGAGCATATGCGCCCTTACGTGTCAGAAGAGCCGGCGTCGTCGCGGCTCGGGCTCGGGCTCGACCTCGCGGGGCGTGTCGTGGTCGAGCGTGGGCTCGCCCGTGGTCGACTCCGCGGGCGCGACGGCGACGGCCGTGGGCGAGTGGGGCTCGACGACGGCGGCGGCGACCTGGGCCGTCGCCGGCTGGGGCGACGCGCGGCGGAAGAAGCTCCGCCGCGCCTTGGGCTCGGGCGCGCCGTCGGCCGCGGGGTCCGGGCTCGGCGACGGCGACCGGCGCCAGCGCGTCGGGCGGCTGCGCCGGGGCAGGGGCCAGGTCATGCGGCTCGCGTCGCCCTTGTCGTCGGCCGGCGCCGCCGCGTCGCTCTCGTCGGAGAGCGGCGCGAGCTGATTCGACGTCTTGCGGACGGTGAAGGACTGGGTCGTGCGCTGCTCGGCGGCCTGGCGCTTCATCGCCGCGAAGGAGAAGGTGAAGGACCCGCTGAGGCTCATGGCGCTCGGGTCGTTCTCCGGCTCGAGGGCCCGGAGCGCCGCGGCCGCGCGCTCGCGCGCGCGCTCGGCCTGCACGGTCCGCAGGAGCGCCTTGCGCCAGGCGAGCTGCTTGATGCCGACGACGTCGCGCAGCTCGCGGTTCGTGTAGTCCGCGAGCTGGTCCCCGCGCACGCCCCGCGACTCGAGGGAGCTCGCGAGCTCGTCGACCTCGACGTTCGCGGGCAAGGCGCGGTTGCGGAGCCACGCGGCGACCTCGGCGGGGCCCATCTCCTCGAGCGTCCGCTCGGCGATGGACGCCGGCGTGCCGCGCCGCGCGGGGAGGGAGCTCGACGCGCTCCCGCAGCGCACGGCCCCGCCGAGGCTGCCCGGGGACGTGCGGCCCCCGCTCTGCTTCTCCGTGCGCGGCGACACGCCCGGCGCGCCGTGCGGCGCCACGGCGCCCGTGCGGGCGCCCTGGAGGGCGCTGCCCATGCGGCCCGGGCGCGCCGGCGCGGGCGAAGGCGGCGGACGGGCGACGCGACGGGGGCCCCCTTGTTCCGGCACCAGCCGCGCGATCGACAAAATGTCGGGGCAGCGTCCAGTGGATATGTATACGATGCGGCACTCTTGCCGTCGTGTCGATGATGAGGATAACGATGAGATAGCACAGAGGCTGCCCTGAATGCACCGCCTCTCCGCGCCGCCCGAGCGGCCGTTCCGGCCGTCGCAGAAGAAGCGCATCTCGGCGCCGCCGCCGCCGGAGCCGGAGAAGAAGCTGAGCAGCGGCTACGGGTCCCGCGCGTCCTTCACGCCCCTGCGGACGACGGCGCCGCGCATGTCGAAGAAGGACCTGGCGCGGACGGAGATGCTCTTCGACGCCATGCTGCGGGACCACGGCGCGGACCGCGACTCGCCGACGCGCGCGAGCCCGCGCGCGGCCGAGGCCGCGCGCGGCGTCTGGACGAGCTCCGTCGCGTCCGCGCGCGGCGTCGGCGGCGTCGCCCGCGCCGCGAGCGCGGCGCGCCGGGCCTTCCGCGACGCGCTGGCGGACGTCGAGGACGAGCCCGCCTGGGCCGGCCGCGGGCGCGACTTCTCCTTCGGCGACGTCGACGACCGGAGCGACGAGTGGAGCGACGGCGACGGCGACGATGACGACGCGTCCTACGACGCCGCCGAGGACTGGTGGCGGCGGCACAACGCCGGCGAGACCGTGCGCGCGGCGCCCGCGGCGCGGCCGTCGCCGCGGACGACCTTCCCGTCGATCAAGAGCCCGCGCGCGGCCGCGCCGCGCGGCGCCGCGGGCGGGCCCCACCAGATCCCGCCCCCGAAGAACCGCCCCGCGGCCGCGGAGGCCGAGAAGGTGCGCGGCGAGCGGGCCCACGCCAAGTGGGAGGGGCCGCCGCCCGCCGCGGACCGGCCGCCGGACGCGAAGCCGCCGCGGCCGTCGCGGCGGGACGCGAGCCCGCGCGCGGCCGCGCGGCGGCCGCCGGCCAAGTCGGCGCGGAAGACGACGCTCTACGACGTCCTGGGCGTCAAGATCCACGCGGAGCGCGCCGAGATCAAGCGCGCCTACGTCGACCTCGCGCTGAAGCTGCACCCGGACAAGAACAAGGACGCGTCGGCGAACGCCCAGTTCCTCCGCGTCAAGGAGGCCTACTCGACCCTGGCCAACGCCGACGACCGCCGGGCCTACGACCGGGCCCTCGTCGACGCGCGGGGGGCGGGGTAACAAAAGGCATCACGTGGTTCAACTTGCTTCGTTGAGGAGGTCGGCGATTGGACAGAATTGCCATAAGCTCTGAACACCATGATGGCCATTAAGCTCCTCTCGCTCGCCGCCGCCGCGGCGGCGTCGGGGTTCCTCGACGAGACGACGAACACGACGCTCTGCGACGACGTGAAGCAATTCGCGGGCTACTACAAGCTGACGACGGGCAAGAGCAAGAACTACTTCTACTGGTTCTTCGAGTCGCGGTCCGCGCCGAGCACGGACCCCGTCGTGCTCTGGATGACGGGCGGGCCCGGCTGCTCGTCCGAGGTGGCACTGTTCGGCGAGAATGGCCCCTGCAAGGTCAACGCCGACGGCAGCGCCACGACGAAGAACGCGCACTCGTGGAACTCGAACGCGAACGTGCTCTACATCGACCAGCCCACGGGCACGGGCTTCTCCTACGGCACGGGCTACGACCACGACGAGGTCGGCGTCGCCGCGGACATGGTCGACTTCCTCGTCCAGTTCTTCGCGGGCCACCCGGCCTACGCGGACAACGACTTCTTCATCAGCGGCGAGTCGTACGCGGGCCACTACGTGCCCGCGGTCGCGCACGGCGTCTGGCTCCACAACAAGGCCGCCGACGCGGCGAAGATCAAGCTCACGGGCGTCGCCATCGGCAACGGCCTCACGGACCCGGAGATCCAGTACGAGTACTACAAGGACATGATCGTCTCGACGAACGACCACGAGGCCGCCGTCGGCACGGTCGTCCACGCGGCCATGGTCGCGGCGACGCCGCCCTGCGTCGCCGCCATCAAGCAGTGCAACAAGAACCACACCTACGGCGCGTGCCTCCCCGCCCTCGAGGGCTGCGAGATCGCGCTCGAGATCCCGTACACGGCGACGGGCATGAACCCCTACGACATGCGCGAGAAGTGCGAGGTCCCGCCGCTCTGCTACGACTTCTCCAACGTCGCGACCTACCTGAAGCGCGACGACGTCCGCGCGGCGCTCAACGTGCCCAAGGCGGCCAAGTGGTCCGACTGCAACCGCGCCGTGACCATGGGCTTCGAGCTCGCGGGCGACTACATGAAGGAGTACCAGCAGCTCATCCCGGACCTCATCGAGGACGGCATCCGCTACCTCATCTACGCCGGCGACCAGGACTACATCTGCAACTGGCTCGGCAACCAGGCCTGGACGCTCGCGCTCCCCTGGTCGGGCAAGGACGCCTTCAACGCCGCGCCGGTCGCCGACTGGGACGTCGCGGGCAAGAAGGCCGGCGAGCTCCGCAAGACGGACATGTTCTCCTTCCTCCGCGTCATCGACGCCGGCCACATGGTGCCCATGGACCAACCCGAGGCCGCGCTCGCCATGATCAACGCGTTCACGTCGAACACGCTCTGAAGCGCCCGGCGCCGCGCAGCGAACGACCCTTCGCGCCCGCCTAACGCACCCTTCGTTTTCGAGGCCGGTGCGCGGCGTGGGCCACTCGCGGGGCCGAGTCGGACCCGGGTGGAGGCCTGGGTGGCCATGCCTGTGGCCATGGAACTGCCAGTGAGCAGTCCAGGACTCAGTCCGGGGGAAAATCCGTCCGTTTGGGGTTAGCGCCGCAGAGCTGCTCCTCCCCGCGGAGTGGCAGCGGCGCCTGGTCCGCGGCGGTACATGGGGAACGGCGCGTCCGCGGACGAGGCCGACGGCGGCCGACCGCCGCCGTCGTCGTCGGCGACGACAGCGCCGGAGCAGCAGCAGAATGTCGAGGCCAACGCCGCCTGCCTCTGGCAGCGGATGCTCGAGCACGCCATCGAGGCCGCCGCCGTGGGGCCCGACGACGACGCCGACGCGGACCCGGCGCGGACGGCGAGCGACGACGCCGCGGACGCCTGCGGGCCGCGGCCGCCGGTCATCTCGCTCGTGTCGCGGACGACGACGTCGCTCGTCCTCGGCGTCGACGCGGCGCTCGGAGCCGCGCGGGCGACCTACGACGTCGAGATCTGCGAGGCGACGTCCGACGTGCCCGCGTGGCGACCCGTCGCCACCGGTTGCGCCGACCGGTCCTACCGCGTCGACGACCTCCGGCCGAACGCGGGCTACCGCGCGCGCGCGCGGCGGCGGGCGCCGCCGAGCGGCTGGGGCCTGTCGCCCGTGCTGCGGTGCACGGGCCAGGTGCCGAGCTGGTTCGAGGCCTGGCGGCACAAGAAGGCGCGCCGCGCGGACTCGCGGACGGAGGTGCTCGCCCTCGGCGCGGTGTCGAACCGCCTCGGCGCCGACATCTCCTCGGACCTCCTGCGGCGCATCCACGCGTTCCTAACGCCGTAGCGACATTTCTTTTTAGGCCGGCGGCGCGGCCTCCGCGCGTGCGGGCGCGATCGCGCCGAGATTCGCGCCGAGGACCGCGCGGACGTGGCCGTTCGTCGCCGCCACCGCGGCGGCGTCGAGGGTCTCCGGCGCGTCCGCGGCGGTGAACACGGGCAGGAGGCTCGACGGCGCGGCGGCGTCGGGTGGCGGCGCGGCGGCCTCGCCCGCGAGCGCCGCGCGGCGCGCGCGGAGCATGCGCGCAGCGGCGACTCTCAATGCCTCGTCGACGGGCTCGAGGCTCGGCGACGCCGCCTCGGCGGCGAGCGCGACCTCGAGGGCCCGCGTCGCCTGCCCTTCCCCGGGAGGCGGCGCATTCTCGCCGGCCTCGGCGTCGCCCAGGGCGCAGGCGACGGCGAGGAGGGCGCGCTGGCGCCGAGCGTCGAGCTCCTTGCGCGCCTCGGCGATCTCGAGCTCGTAGGCCTTGCAGTGCTGGTGCGATTCCGCGTCGGGCGGGAGGGATTGGAGGAGGGCCTCGGCCATTGTGTTTGGGGCAGCTTTGCGGCAGCTTGTGTCCTTGAAGTCACGGATCTCTCAACAGCGCTGATGGGGGCTGCCCTCGGGGAGCCCCGCGCGCGGCTCCATCGAAGGTCGCCTCGAGCGTGGAGGTGACCCATGCTGCTGCACCGCGTCGTGGCGTTGGCGCTCGCCGCCGCCGCCACGGACGCGCCGACGGCCGTGCCGACGGCCGTGCCCACGGCGACGCCGACGTCCTGCCCGACCTACGACACCTTTTTTCCGACGTACGCGACGCCCGTGCCGACGGCGCCGACGTTCAGCCCAAGCTACGCGACGCCGCAGCCGACCCTCTTCCCGACGCTGACGCCGACGCTGTCCGTGCTGCCGACGTTTTTTCCCACGTACGCGACGCCGGCGCCCACGAACGCGCCCTTCGACACGAACCCGACGCCGGCGCCGTCGGCGGCGCCGAGCTACTACCCGACGTTCCCGCAGCCGTCGGACCCGCCGACGACGAAGGTGCCGACGCCGGCGCCGACGTACGAGACCTGGGCGCCGACGAAGATCCCGCCGACGGCCGCGCCGTCGCCGGAGCCGACGGGCGAGCCCACGGCCATGCCCACGTCGCCGCCGACGTCCGCGCCGACGAGCGTCCCGACGGCGCCGCCCTCGGCCCCGCCGTCGGATCCGCCCACGGCCGCGCCCACGGCCGTGCCGACGAGCGTCCCGACGGCGCCGCCGTCCGAGCGGCCCAGCGGAAAGCCGACGACGGCCGTGCCGTCCGCCGCGCCCTCGGCCTCGCCCCTCCCGACGATCTCGCCCCTGCCGACGGCGGCGCCCAGCGAACTGCCGACGCCCGCGCCGTCGGGTCTGCCGACGCCCGCGCCGACGGCGATGCCGTTCCCGGCGCCGTCGTCCCCGCCCTCGGAGCTGCCGACGCCGTCGCCGAGCCCGCTCCCGAGCGCCGTCCCGACGTCGACGCCCACGTCCGCGCCGACGCCCCTGCCCTCGATCGAGCCGTCGCCCGCGCCGTCGCCGCTGCCGACGATCTCGCCGGTCCCGACGATCTCGCCGCCGCCGAGCGGCACGCCCTCGGAGCTGCCGACGCCCGCGCCGTCGCGCGTGCCGACGTCCGCGCCGTCGGAGACGCCGACGTCGCCGCCGTCGGGCTGCCCGCTGCCGCTGCCCACGGGCCCGCCGTCGGTCACGCCGCGGCCGTCCGTGCCGCCGACGCTCCTGCCGACGTCCGTGCCGACGGCGATCCCGACGCCGACGCCGACGGCCGCGCCCGCGCCCCCGACCTACGCGCCGACGGGGCCGCCGTCGCCGCCGCCGACGGAGCTGCCGACGCCGGCGCCGAGCCCCATGCCGACCGCGACGCCCGTGCCGAGCCGGACCTTCTCGCCGACGCGCAGCCGCGCCGTCGTCGACGTCGCGCTGTCCGTCGTCTTCGCGTTCCTCGACGCCGGCGCCTTCAACGGCGACCGCTACGCGCGGCGCGCGTTCGCCGACGCCGTCGTCGCCGCGCTGCCCGGCGTCGACGACCGGTCCGCCGTCGGCGACGTCGTCGCGAGCCCCGTGCGCCCGACGTACGCGCGCCGCCTCACGCACCGCCAGTGGCACACCTGGGCGCCGTCGTCGACGCCGCGGCCGTCCGTCTCGCCGACGTTCCGGCCGACGCCCGGCCCGACGACGCGCTTCGCGCCGACGTTCGCGCCGTCGAGCCCGCCGACGACGGCGCGGAACGCGACGCGCGTCGACTTTTACGTGGAGTACCTCCACGACGACGCGGCGTCGACGGCCGCGGCCGCGGACGTCCTCGTCGACGACAGCGTCGCCGCGCTCCGGGCGGCGCTCGACGACGGCTCGTTCCTGGGCGGCCTCCTCGCCGGCAACGGCACGGCCGTCTACGCCGACGCCGAGATCCTGGCGAACCAGTCCTACGACGCCCTGGGCGAGGCGACCTACGACGTCGCCGTGACGACGCCGCCGCCGAGCGGCGCGCCGACGCAGAACCCGACGGACGAGAAGCTCCCGCGCGTGCCCTGGTGGAAGGAGTTCACGGCGACGGGGTTCCTCGTCGCCGCCGGGATGACGTGCTTCGGCAGCTGCGTCGGCGCCTACCTCTCCGTCAAGTGCTTCCACGAGTACAAGGGCGACGCGGCGAAGATCTACGCCGAGGGGCCCATCTACAAGGCCAAGGCCATCCTCCTCGCCAAGGAGGTGAGCTCCGAGGTCAGCTCGACGCCGTCCTACCTCAAGGCCACGTCCAAGGAGTGGGTCCAGATGATCGTCCAGCCCAACAAGCTCGACGCGCGCGACTGGCCGTCCCGCGTCGCCTCGGAGCGGCGGTGCGTCACCGACGGCCACCTGTAACTGTTGTTCTCGTATTATCGCGCGCGCCGCGGCGGCGACGGCGAGCACAGGTCCAGGACCGCGTCGTCGTCGTCGTCGTCCGATCGAGCGGCGGCCGGCGGCGACGGCGGCGAGCGGGGGTCCGGGGCCGCGTCGTCGTCGGAGAACAGGGCCGCGTCGTCGTCGAAGAAAGGCCGGTGCTCGCAGAGGTCCAGGACCGCGTCGTCGTCGCCGGCCGGCCGGTTCTCCGCGTCGTCGGCCGGCGGCGGCGGCGGCGCGGGCGGCCGCGCGGCGGCCTCGCGGAGCGACCGCTTCGCCTGGCGCACGACGAGGGTCCAGTCGGTCTCGTGGTCGCAGACGGGGCACGCGCCCCGCGGCGGCACGAGCGCGCCGTCGCCGGCGAGCGAGTGCGCCGCGAGGCACACGAGGTGCACGGGCGCGTCGCAGCGCTCGCAGGAGAGCACGGCGCCGCCCCGCGCGTCCGCCGCGGGCGCGCCGCAGACCGCGCAGGGCCGGTCGCCCCGGTCCGCCGCGGGCCGCGCGGCCGCCGTCGCGGCGCGCGCCGCGGCGACCGCGGGCGGCCAGGCGTCGACGGGGCCCCGCGACACGCGCGCGGACGCGAAGAAGGCCGTCCGCGGCGGCGGCGTCGCGTCGGCGTCGACGACGCGGAGCACGAGGTGCGACCACTTGTCGATGCCCAGCATCGTCTCCGCGCACTCGAGGTGCGCCTTCCAGCCCGTCCGCGCGCGGCGCCGCCCGCCGTTCGCCTCGCGCACCGCGAGGCTCCGGCCCGGGTGCTGCCACGCCCACTCGAACTGGAGCGCCTCGACCTGGCTCGCGAACCCGTCGACGAGCGCGACGAAGGCCCAGGGCCGCTTCTTCTTCGTCCGCCGCGCGCCGCCCTGGATCTCGCCGTTGTGCTGCCGCACGCGCCGCAGCGGGTTCACCGTGAACCCGACGTAGGTCGACCGCGGGTGCGCCGGGTCCAGCGACCGCAGCAGGTAGCACCCGACGAAGGACCGCTGCTCAGCGGTGGTTTCCATTGCGAGAACCTCGGTCGAGCGCGCCATCGTTACTCGTTGGACTGCACCCAAACTGCAACGAGCAGGACGCGTCCCTGGCCCGACCTACGACGCCTCCTACGCACGGTGCGAGCGCCGTCGCGACCGGTGACGGCAGCGCTCGTCGAGTAGCCTTCGCGCTGGGCGACATTCGTACAAGTCGCGGCGAAGTTCGACGCGGCGCGCGCCGCGCGCGGCAGGAGCGGGCTGCGCGCTTCGTGCTGACCGGCTGTTAGAGGCGCTCGCAACGTCATAGCCGCGCGCGCCGAGTAAGAATCCGGAGCCGGACGCCGTGCGGCAACGCGCGCGCCAGCGGCCCAACGGCGGCTGGCCTTGATCTTGGAAATCTCCTCGAGCAGCTCTTGAGCATCGCCGACAGCAGCACCGCCACCCACCGTAAACCATGGTGCGATGCTCCGCCGGGGCCCTCCCACCGCCGTCCCAGCCCCGCGCGCCATCCTGCCGCGGCTCCGGACGCTTGCGCCACGCGCCGCGCGTCCGCGCCGCGGTCGGCGGCGTCGGCGATCCGCCCCTCGCCGGAAACCCCCGTTGCCATCGCCGACCGCCCGGCTCGGGGCATCGCCCGGTGCCCCGGGCCGTCCTGCCGCGGCGGCGGACGACCGAGCGCGGGCGCGGTCATCCGGAGCCCCGCGCTTGGTCGTCCGGAGCCGCGGTCGGTGGCGTCGGCGATCCTCCCCTCGCCAGAAATCCCCCGGAACGCGCCGTCGCCGACCGCCCCCCCGCTCATAGGTTAAGGAGAAGACTCACATCAACCTCGTCGTCATCGGCCACGTCGATGCCGGCAAGTCGACGACCACCGGCCACTTGATCTACAAGTGCGGCGGCATCGACAAGCGTACCATCGAGAAGTTCGAGAAAGAGGCGGCCGAGCTCGGCAAGGCGTCCTTCAAGTACGCGTGGGTGCTCGACAACCTCAAGGCCGAGCGCGAGCGCGGCATCACGATCGACATCGCCCTCTGGAAGTTCGAGTCGCCCAAGTTCTACTTCACGGTCATCGACGCGCCCGGCCACCGCGACTTCATCAAGAACATGATCACGGGCACGTCCCAGGCGGACGTCGCGATCCTCGTGATCGACTCGTCCGTGGGCGGCTTCGAGGCCGGTATCTCCAAGGACGGCCAGACGCGCGAGCACGCGCTCCTCGCGTTCACGCTCGGCGTCAAGCAGATGATCGTCGCGTGCAACAAGATGGACGACGTGTCCGTCAAGTACGGCGAGGCCCGCTACAAGGAGATCAAGCAGGAGGTGTCCGGCTACCTCAAGAAGGTCGGCTACAAGCCCATGAAGATCCCCTTCATCCCCATCTCCGGCTGGGCGGGCGACAACATGATCGACAAGTCGACGAACATGGGCTGGTACAAGGGCCCCTACCTCCTCGAGGCCCTCGACAACTGCAACCCCCCGAAGCGCCCGACGGAGAAGCCCCTCCGCCTCCCGCTCCAGGACGTCTACAAGATCGGCGGCATCGGCACCGTGCCCGTCGGCCGCGTCGAGACGGGCGTGCTCAAGCCCGGCATGGTCGTCACGTTCGCGCCGGCCCAGCTCTCCACGGAGGTCAAGTCCGTCGAGATGCACCACGAGTCGCTCCCCGAGGCCGTGCCCGGCGACAACGTGGGCTTCAACGTGAAGAACGTCTCCGTCAAGGACCTCCGCCGCGGCTTCGTGTGCGGCGACTCCAAGCAGGACCCGCCCAAGGGCGCGGACACCTTCTTCGCCCAGGTCATCATCATGAACCACCCCGGCCAGATCTCGGCGGGCTACTCGCCCGTGCTCGACTGCCACACGGCCCACGTCGCGTGCAAGTTCCAGGAGCTCAACCAGAAGATGGACCGCCGCTCCGGCAAGGTGCTCGAGGAGAACCCCAAGTTCGTCAAGTCCGGCGACGCGTGCATGGCCACCCTCGCGCCCACGAAGCCCCTCTGCGTCGAGTCGTTCGCGGAGTACCCGCCGCTCGGCCGCTTCGCCGTCCGCGACATGCGCCAGACGGTCGCCGTCGGCGTCATCAAGACGGTGACCAAGTCCGAGAAGGAGGGCAAGGCCACCAAGTCCGCGGCCAAGAAGAAGTGAGGGTTTGCCGCGACCCTGTTCGGCACACCTGTCGCCCACGCGAAGCACCGGTCCGACGGCCCGGACGGCAGACGCGGCCCCCGGCGACGCGGTTCCCGGCGACGCGCGCGCATCGCGCGCCCCGCCGTCCGCGACGTCGACGGCCTCGTCTCCGCGCCGGTCCTGCCCGACCCGTGCTCTCGACGCCCGCCACATGCACCACCCCGAGGGGTCGCACCACACCACAGAAGACGCAACTCGACGTGGGGTGCGCGCGCGATTTCCTACCCACCGCCCTTCCGTATAGGAAAGTGAGTGATGCTACTCCGACGCTCCCGGGGGCTGGGGGTGGCTTTTCTTGTCGCGGTGTGCCGCGGCGCGCCCCGCGCCGACGTCGTCGCGCGCGTCGAGGCGTCGGCGAGCCGATTTTCAACCCTTGTGGCAGAGCATGGCCGGCCTCCGTGCAGCGCGCGTGGCAGCCTAGGCTCGCAGCGCAGCATGCCCGTGGTGCCGTCGCTGAGCGGTTCGAAGGTGTTGCTCGTCACCGCGGTGCTCAATGGCATCTTCTGCGTGTCGCAGGGCATCGCGTCGCAGCTGTCGCATTCCCTGGCCCTCCTGGGCGACAGCATCGACATGGCCGCGGACACGGTGACCTACTCGTTCGCCTACTGCATCGAGCGCCGGAAGGAGCTCGGCGCCGGGCAGCTCTCGCCGCGGTTCCTCGTCGCCGAGCTGGTCGTGGCGTCGCTCAGCGGGCTGTCGCTCATCGCCGGCTCGTGCGCGATCATCCGCGAGTCGGCGCGGCGGCACGCGGGCGGCGAGGCCGAGGAGGAGGAGGTCAACTCCGTGGTGATCTTCGGCTTCGCCGGCGTCAACTTCGTCGTCAACGGCGTGCAGCTCGTGCTCTTCCTCTCGCGCCGGCGCGACGACCCGGCCGCGGCGGCGCCCGCCTGCTGCAACCCGCTGTCTCCCCCGGACGCGGCCGGCTCCGAGGAGTCGGCGCGGAGGAGTCGGCGCGGCGGCGCGGAGGGCGGCGAAGGGCTCATGGCCGGGCAGGGCGACTACGAAATGGTCGACAGCGACGCCGCCGAGCCCTCCGACGCGGGCTCCGAGGCGCCCGACGGCGACGGCGACGACGCGGACGCGCGCGAGGGCGCGAGCGAGCGCGGCGGCTGCTGCGCGAACATCAACGTCGGCGCGTCGCTGGCGCACGTGGTCGCCGACACCCTGCGGACGTTCAGCGAGCTGACGGCGGCGTTCATCATCCAGGTCTTTGAGACGGACTCCGTCCGCACGGACGCGGTCGCCGCGATCGTGATCAACGTCACGATCCTCGCCTCCGGCCTCTACATCTGCTACGAGGTCGCCGTCCGGGCGCGCGCGCTTTGGGGATCGCAGTCGCAGGAGACCGGCGAGGCGCCGAAGCTCGCGGACGATGTCGGCTTAACTTAAAACGTGGGCACTCTCTGGGTCTGCGCCGCGGGGTGTGCCCGGGGGCGCGGCCTGTCCGCCTTCCCGACCTGGTCTCGGCCGCGCGGCATCGCGCCGCGGGCCGAGCGCTGCGTGCCGCGCGCGGCGGCGCGGCGCATCGGTGATCCGGCTCGCCGGCCCTCGCTGGGCGACAGTCAATCGCTGCAAAGCCAGCCAAAAGCCAACCCAATCGCTAGTCAAGATGGTGCGTCCGCGCGCCCGGTCCGCTCCGTCGCCGCTCCGCGACCCACGCCACCGCTGCGGGACCGCCGGACACCCACGCCACGCGCCGTGCGTCTTTGCGCGGAAACGCGGGCGTCGGGCGCCGCGATTCGGCGACGGACCCCCTTCCGCCCCCAGAAGCCCCCCGGACGCGCCGGGCGCCGCTTCCGGCATCGCCCGGTGCCCCGGGCCATCCTGCCGCGGCGGCGGACGACCGAGCGCGGGCGCGGTCGTCCGGAGCCCCGCGCTTGGTCGTCCGGAGCATCCTCCCCTCGCCAGAAACCCGCCGGAACGCGCCGTCGCCGACCGCCCCCCCCGCTCATAGGTTAAGGAGAAGACTCACATCAACCTCGTCGTCATCGGCCACGTCGATGCCGGCAAGTCGACGACCACCGGCCACTTGATCTACAAGTGCGGCGGCATCGACAAGCGTACCATCGAGAAGTTCGAGAAGGAGGCGGCCGAGCTCGGCAAGGCGTCCTTCAAGTACGCGTGGGTGCTCGACAACCTCAAGGCCGAGCGCGAGCGCGGCATCACGATCGACATCGCCCTCTGGAAGTTCGAGTCGCCCAAGTTCTACTTCACGGTCATCGACGCGCCCGGCCACCGCGACTTCATCAAGAACATGATCACGGGCACGTCCCAGGCGGACGTCGCGATCCTCGTGATCGACTCGTCCGTGGGCGGCTTCGAGGCCGGCATCTCCAAGGACGGCCAGACGCGCGAGCACGCGCTCCTCGCGTTCACGCTCGGCGTCAAGCAGATGATCGTCGCGTGCAACAAGATGGACGACGTGTCCGTCAAGTACGGCGAGGCCCGCTACAAGGAGATCAAGCAGGAGGTGTCCGGCTACCTCAAGAAGGTCGGCTACAAGCCCATGAAGATCCCCTTCATCCCCATCTCCGGCTGGGCGGGCGACAACATGATCGACAAGTCGACGAACATGGGCTGGTACAAGGGCCCCTACCTCCTCGAGGCCCTCGACAACTGCAACCCCCCGAAGCGCCCGACGGAGAAGCCCCTCCGCCTCCCGCTCCAGGACGTCTACAAGATCGGCGGCATCGGCACCGTGCCTGTCGGCCGCGTCGAGACGGGCGTGCTCAAGCCCGGCATGGTCGTCACGTTCGCGCCGGCCCAGCTCTCCACGGAGGTCAAGTCCGTCGAGATGCACCACGAGTCGCTCCCCGAGGCCGTGCCCGGCGACAACGTGGGCTTCAACGTGAAGAACGTCTCCGTCAAGGACCTCCGCCGCGGCTTCGTGTGCGGCGACTCCAAGCAGGACCCGCCCAAGGGCGCGGACACCTTCTTCGCCCAGGTCATCATCATGAACCACCCCGGCCAGATCTCGGCGGGCTACTCGCCCGTGCTCGACTGCCACACGGCCCACGTCGCGTGCAAGTTCCAGGAGCTCAACCAGAAGATGGACCGCCGCTCCGGCAAGGTGCTCGAGGAGAACCCCAAGTTCGTCAAGTCCGGCGACGCGTGCATGGCCACCCTCGCGCCCACGAAGCCCCTCTGCGTCGAGTCGTTCGCGGAGTACCCGCCGCTCGGCCGCTTCGCCGTCCGCGACATGCGCCAGACGGTCGCCGTCGGCGTCATCAAGACGGTGACCAAGTCCGAGAAGGAGGGCAAGGCCACCAAGTCCGCGGCCAAGAAGAAGTAGGCGGCCGCCAGCCCGCGCGCGCACCCTTTATAAAGTATCCGGCCCGAGCTTACTCCGCGGGCAGGCCCAGCGCGGCGCCGAACCGGTCGCCGAAGAAAACGTCCGCCGGCGGGAGGCGCGGCGAGGGCGCGCCGGGTGCGGCGTCGGCGGGCGCGTAGCCCGTCGAGACGACGAGCGGGAGCGAGTAGCGGTCCGGCACGTCGAGGTACGCGCGGAGGCGCTCCGCGTCCTGCGGGGGGGGGGCGTCCGCCGTCGATCGCGCGTCCCCCGCGGCGGGCGCGGGCGCCGCACGAAGCCCTCCATGGGCGACGTCGCGAGGCCGTGGGCCGTGGCGGCGAGCATGTAGCTCTGCGCGGCCATCATGCAGCCCTTGAGCGCCCAGGCCTCCGCGCGGACCGGCTGCGGCACGGGCCGGAGCGGCGACAGCGCGCGCGCGGCGAGACCCTTGACGGCCGACGCGACCTCGCCCGACGTCGCGTAGTAGCCCACGGCCAACGTCAGGTCCTCGATGCGGGCGCCGTCGCGGCCCGCGGCGCGCTCCTCCTCGGCGAGGCGCGGGATCGACCGCGCCGGCTCTGCGCGCCGGGGGTACGCGGGTCGCCGCGCGGCGCGCGACGCGTGCGCGCGGGCTGGCGCGCCGAGGTCCGCGCAGAAGACGGCCGTCACCGGCGCCTCGAGGACGCGCCGCTTGTTCGACTCCGAGAGCATCGCGCCTGCGCCGCGCGGGTCGCGCCGCGGGCGGCCGACGGCGTCGCCCGCGCGGGCGGACGCGCGGCCCATGAGCTCGCGCTGCTCCAGGGAGCGCACGACGACGCAGGTCCACGGCTGCAGGTTGAAGCTCGACGGCGCGCGCTGCGCGGGGTCGCGGCGCTGACGCGGCGGCCGCGAAGGAAGGCACCGGCGCACCTGGGCCACGGCGAGCACGTCGGCCAGGACCGCGTCGGGCACGGTCCGCGACGCGTCGAAGCGCCGCGCGGCGCTGCGGCGCAGCGCGACGTCGCGCAGGACGCGCGCGTCGCTGGACAGCGCTCTGCGCACGGTTTTGTGGAGCATCATCGTCATCTCTTCTGCCACACGCGCCCGGCTCGCGCGCGCCGCGCGACACAGTCGGCGCGAGGCGACGCAGGAGGGCGCTCGAGGCGCTCCGCTCGTCGACGACCGCGGGCGCCGTTTTGTGCGCATAGCTCGGAGGCTATTCTTTTTGTGTGTGCACAAAATTAGAGAGCGCCGGCGCGCGGGGGGACGCCGCGCGCGCGGAGTGCGCGGCGCTAGGGACTGGGGAGGCGCCCTTCGAATCCCGCGTCCTTGTTGCTGGAGCGCCGCCCGCCGCGGCGCTGGCGCTTGCTGGGCCGCGGCTTCGCCGAGGGCGTCGGCGCCGCGTCGTCGCTCCCGACGCGGTCGCGGCCCGCGTCGTCGCCGTCGGCGCTGTCTCGACGCCCGTCGGCGCGCTCCGAGCACGCGTAGAAGCGGGCGCTGAGCTGCTCGTAGCGCCCCATGAGCTTCTCCAGGGCCTCCTCGTCGTAAGCGCTGTCGAGCGTCTCCAGGGTCGAATTCGACTCCTCCGAGGGTTCGGCGTCGCGGGAGGAGGCGAGGACGTCCGCGAGCGGCGGCAGCAAAGACAAGGGGTCGCTCCCGGAGGGGATGGACGCCATCGCTGCGCGCCGCGTTTCCTTCGTCGGGTGGCGCGCGGGGGCGGAGCCTCGTCGCCAGATGAGAGACCGCCGGGGTTGCGCGCCTCGACGCCTCGCGCCGCGCCGCGTACGCCTCAGCCTCGCCTCCGCGCCGCGCGACCCCGTCCGCGCGCCGGGGTCGTCCGCCTTAGCTTCGGCGCTCCGCGCGCCCGCCGCCGGCGGGCCTCAGCCGCCGGAGAAGACGTAGTAGAGGACGACGTAGCCGGCGATCATGAGGTAGAGGTTCGTGTTGGACTTGCCCGCGTCGGGCTTCATGATGTTCGCGGCCGGGTGCGCGGGCACGGCGCCGCCGCGGAGGCTCGCCTCGAGGTTCTGGAGCGTCTGGTTCACCGTCGGCGGCGCGGCCGCGCCGCCGACGCCGCCGTTCGCCGCGATGGTCTGCTGGAGGTCGTTGAGCGCGCGGAGCACCTCCTTGTTCTGCTCGTGGAGCGCGAGGAGGAGCCGCCGCGCGTGCTCGTCCAAATCGACGAAGAGGTAGGCGCCGATGCAGCGGCAGCCGTTGAGGTACGCGGGGAAGAGGTTGTGGCCGAGCATGACGAGCTCGTGCTCCGTCGTCTGCGGCAGGAACCAGTCCGGCAGCGTCAACTCCTTGAGCAGGAGCATGACCTCGACGACGAGCATGGCGATCATGCCCGTGAAGGCCCACTGGCGCGCGTTGCTCGACTGCTTGCCCAGCGTGAGCATGTACGTCATGATGCCCCACGCGACGTAGAAGATCGCGACCTCGAGGAGCACGCGGTACTCGTCGATGACGAGCTTGGACTTGACCTTGTCCTCGCCGAAGCGGTTGTAGATCTCGCGCGTCTCCATGTCCATGAGCACGTCGTAGCCGTTCTTGAGCGCCGCGAAGTCGTCGATCGCCGTCGGGCTCGGGTTCTTGTCGGGGTGGAGCTCGAGGCTCATGCGCTTGTACGCGCGCTTGATGTCGACGGCCGACGAGCCGCGCGTGACGTCCAGCATCTGGTAGAAGTTGGGCCCCCGCTCCTGGAGCTCGAGGCCCGTCTTCACGGCGGAGATGGCCACGAGGAGGCCGATGGCATAGGTGAGGCCCTTGGACCGCGAGAAGCGCCCGGGCTTGAGGATCCAGTTGCACGCCGGGTAGACGAAGAGCACGTAGAAGAAGAACGAGAACAGGCTCGACTCCTCGCCCATGGTGTCTGTCGGTCGCAAGAGGGTGTGTGTCGGTCGCGAGAGCGCGCGCGCAGCACTCTATGTCGAGCTCTATTGCTCGCCGGCGAACCTCAACGCGAAGGCATCGACGCGATGGTGCCTCGATGAGATGGCAGCCCGATGCGGTGCCTGATGATGCTCCTGGCCGCCTGCGCCTCCGCGCGGCCGCGGGACGGCGCCGTGACGCTGTCCATGACGACGACGGCGGGCGAGGACATCGGCCGCGCCGCGCGGTCCATGGTCGCATCGTTAAACTCGAGCCTCGTGCGCGTGCGCCGCGCCGTCGTCGACGCGGACCCGGCGCGGCCCGCGGACGCCGCGGCGGTGCGCGCCCACGGCGCCGCCCTCGATGCGCTCGTCGCGGACGGCGCGCTCACGGACGTCGCGCGGGTCGACTACTCCGCGGCCTACACGAAGGGCAACGCGTCCGTCTTCGCGCGCCTCTTCGGCCGGACCTCGGGCCCCGCGCGCAACCGGCGCGGCCGCGGGTTCTTGGTCTACCTCTTCGAGATCGATGTGTGCACGACGCCCTACCTCCTCCACCTCGACAGCGACACGCGCGTCTGGAGCCGGGGCTCCCGGGACGCCGTGCGCGACCTCGTGGCCCTCGTCCAGCGCTGGCCCGACGTCCTCGGCGCGGCCCTGCCCGTGCACCTCGGCACGGCCAACTGCACGCTGGACGCCGCGCGGGACCGCGAGATCCTGAGGAGGGGACCGGAGCCGGACCCGCGCGGCTTCGTCGACCTCCGGGACCTCTCGACGCAGTTCTACCTCCTGAGCCTGCGCAAGCTCCGGCGCGCCCTGCCGCTGCCCTACCGGCGCGCCAACGTCGAGGACGCCTTCTCCGCGCTGCGGTCCGAGCGCGCGCTGGTCGTCGCGGCGATGATCCCGCACGCGCGGCCGCCGGCCTACTTCCGGGGCCAGGGGCGGCGCTTCTCGCGGGACGTGGCGGTTGTGGATGCGGGCGACGACGTGCGGTGCGGCGGCGATTGGGTGGGGCGGCGGTCTAGGGCGTGGCGGCATAACGGTACTTAGGTGTGTTCAACAAGGCTCGGAGCCTTCAGGCCTAGGAGTGCACGCGCATGCATGTGCACGTGCTGTCCTGTGAGGCGCACCCATGATCGTCGCGCGCGGGAGAAAGGCACACAAAAGTTTTTACAACAACAATGGCGCTTCGTCTAGCGGCTGGCGTCCGTGCGACGTCTCCTCTTCGAGAACGGGCGCGGCGCGCCGGGTGCGAAGTCCCGGGCCACCTCGCACTTGAGCTTCTCGACGACGGCCGCGTCGTCGCTGACGAGCTCGTCGCAGCACGCGCCCTGGAGCACGTGGTCCAGGAGCGCGCGCTTGTCGAAGGACGCGCCGCAGGCCGGGCACGGCCGGAGCGCGCGGTCGTCGCCGGGCGCGCGCGCCGCGCGCAGCTGCGCGATGCGCGCGCGCGCCAAGAGCGCTTTGACGCCGGCGCTGACGTCGAGGGCCACGATCGTCGCGAGCGGCACGAGCGGAATCCCGACGTCGTCGATCTCGATGTCCAACGGCGTTTCCAGCTCGAGCATCCCAAAGTCGAGCTCCATCCCCAGTCCGCGCGCGTCGTTGGCGTGCGCGGCGGTGCGATTCGAGGCCCAGGCCAAGGTCCAGCCGACGACGGTCGCGAGGCCCGCGAGCTCCTCGTCCTCGGAGCCCTCGCCGAAGGCGCGGAAGGTCCAGGACGGCGCGCTGACGCGCACCGTGTCGAAGACGGTCATGTCAAGGCCGGTTTCGACGTACTCCGGCAAAGGGCCAGGCTCGCCGCCTCCTTTGATGATCTCCAACCGTTCCTCGTAGACGCGCATACGCTCCGCGTGCTTCGCGTCCGCCTCGACCTTCGCGGCTTCCATGGCCGCGAGCGAGTTGAAGGTCGCGCTGAAAGCGGCGTCGGCTTGCACGGCCTTCTTCACGAGGAGGAGGTCGCTCACGTCGCTTGCGCCGACGCCGAAGCCGAATCCCGGGCGGACGGAGACCTCGACCGTGCCGAGCGCCTCGGCAGCACTCCGCTTGCGACGCGCTGCCTCTGAGACCTTCGGCGCATCCTCTAGCGCATGGATCAGCGCCTCGTCTCGCGTCTCGAGCTCGAGAGCGCTGTCGCGCAGTCGGGCCATGCCCGAAAGCGCAAGGCGGTCACTCAGAGCCTCGTCTTGCGTCTTCAGCGCGACTAGGGTGTGCAGTCGGGATTAGTCGGGCCATAAGCAAGCAAGCCACGTCGACGTTGCTGGCAACGTTCCTCAGACGCCTCTCAGGCAGTCTTCTGCAGTCTTCTGGAGGAGCCTAGGAGGCTTTCAGGCCTCGCGCGTGTGGGCGCCTCGCGGCTCGCAGGCCAGAGTCCGTCGATCGGGGAGAATCGCGCCGAGGTGTACTTGAAATTTAGGATGAGCGGCGCGGCACACGGGCTGGGTATGTCGCAGGGGGGATCAGGCGCGCGGGGCCGCCGGTCGCGCGGCCGCGGCGAGCGTTTCGAGGCCCGCCGCGGTCGTCGACGCGACGCCTCCGCGACGCATGGTGGGGGGGAGCGCGGGTCCGGGCGTGCCGCCGAGCACGGCGGCGCCGCCCGAGGCCCCCGCTTAGGGCTTGCGCTTGGTGAGCGTCGCGGAGAGCCAGTCGAGGCCCTCGTAGAGGCCGTCGCCCGTCGTCGCGCAGCACGCCTGGATGTACCACTGGCGGTGGCGGAGGCCGTTGAGGCCGAGCTTGTCGGTCATCTCCGCGGCCGACATGGCGTTGGGCAGGTCCTGCTTGTTCGCGAAGACGAGGAGGATCGACTCGCGGAGCTCGTCCTCGTTGAGCATGCGGTGGAGCTCGTCGCGGGCGTTGTCCACGCGGTCCCGGTCGTTGGAGTCGACGACGAAGATGAGGCCCTGCGTGTTCTGGTAGTAGTGGCGCCAGAGCGGGCGGATCTTGTCCTGACCTCCGACGTCCCAGACCGTGAACGAGATGTTCTTGTACTCGACCGTCTCGACGTTGAAGCCGATCGTGGGGATCGTCGTGACGACCTAGGAGGGGGTCGGGCGGTGTTCGAAGCCGGGCGGGAGAAGCGAATCCGGCGAGGTCGCGCGCGCGGTGCCCGACGGGGCGCCCAACAGCGCGCGGCGGGGCGACACATGGTCGCGGGGGCGCCGCGGCGTGGAGGGGCGCGCGAGCCGTGGGGGTTGTTGGGCGGTGCCCGGGTCGACGGACGCGGGGAAAGCGCCTCGCCGAGCTTGAGCTTGTAGAGGATGGTCGTCTTACCGGCGGCGTCGAGGCCGACCATCAAGATCCGCATCTCCTTCTTGCCGAACATGCGCTCCCAGATGCGGGAAAAGGCAAGCCCCATTTTGGCTGCTGCCTAAACGGGTCTCGCGTCGCTGAACGTCTTGCGGGGCGAGGAAAGCCCGATCGATTCGCGCGCGACGTGGCGGGGCGTCGTACTGGGTCACGGGGACGACGACGCGCCCTTGGGGACGGGGCGCGGGCGTGCTTGGGCGTCGGCGACGCACCTCTGGAAATTGTATGGGACGCGCGGCTTTGCGTCGCTGGCGCGAGGGTGGAGTCACGGCACCCCATGTAAACTTTGACAAGTTGACAAGATATGCCCATTTGTGGCCCGGAGCCTCCGCGTAAGGTGAGCTTAACAAATCCCTTGTTCGCGCGCCGCGACGCATTAATTAGTCATCATTTGATTATTGGTCATCGCCCATGTTGCACCAGTTTTTAAAAAATCCCCCCACCGGCACCCTCAGTCGCGCACGAGGCTCAGCTGCCCGAAGACGCCGTAGCACATGTTCACGCAGGACGCGAGGAGGATGAGGCGCATGTAGATGAGGAGCCAGTTGTGGGGCGCGGCCGTGGGGACGTGGTGGATGACGGAGGCGAGCATGAGGACGCCGTGGGAGAGCAAAAAGTTGATGCACGACGACGCGACGACGAAGGCCGCGCGCTTCTCGACGACGTCGAGGCCGACGTTGACGACGGAGACGGACGCGTTGAGGATGTACATGAGGAGCCAGGGGAGCTGGGACGTCGACGACCGGCCGCAGCCGTACTGGCTCTGCATGGACAGCACGAACTCCTCGGGCTCGGGCCCCTCTCCCGGCGCGACGTCGTCGCGGTGGACCGCGTTGAGGTCCTTGATGAGCCCGAGGCCGTAGTGCTCGTTCTTCCACATGGACAGCGCGATGACGCCGCCGAACATGAAGGAGATGGACCCGACGAGGTACGTAAAGTCCACGAGCCAGAGGTCGGGCTCCGCGGCGGGGATCGAGCCCGACGCCGCCGCGAACAGGAACAGGAACCCGCCGACGAAGTTGCAGAGGCTCAGCCAGTGCTCGAGCGAGCAGCAGTCGAAGCCCTTGTGGAGGTGGTTCTGCGTGCACTCGAGGAGGCCGCCCGCCGTGAAGAGGATGGAGCCGACGACCGCGCAGGGCCAGTAGAGCGCCGCCGCCGCCTGGGCACAAAAAGGATAGTCCCAACTTTTGGGAGGCGACGGCGCGAGGAGCGGCGGGTCGAGTCGATGCGTTCCTCTCGCGAGACGCTCGCGTTGAAGTTCGATGGAATCACCCCGTGCGGCCTCCGGCCGCCGCCTCCGTCTCGACGACGCCGGCGATGGTGTTGATGTTGAAGAAGGCCGCGCCGACGATGTAGCAAAAGTAGCCCACGATGGCCTCCCAGGCCAGGTACTTGCGGAGCTTCTTCCACGTGACGAGCGGCTTTGTGAACAGCGCCGAGCCAAACCGCGTCGGCTCGTGCTCCGCCGCGCCGACGTTGACGACCTCCATCACGCCGGCGTAGGCGCCGAGCGTGAACGCGACGCCCCCGACGAGGTAGGGCCCGTCGACGAGCGCGAGCGTGACGGACCGGCCCGCGCGGTGCACGGCGCCGACCATCGAGAACGCGGCGCCGATGGTGAAGAGCACGGAGCCCTCGATGTACATGACGGACACCCAGTAGGCGCAGATGCGGCGGAACTTCCACGTGTCCCAGTGCGGGTACCAGAACTGGAACGTGCGCCGCTCCTTGAACTCGTCGTCGCCGGCCTCCTCGTCCCAGGGGCCGTCGGCGGCGCTGCTCACGGGGCTCGTCGCCGCCTCGGCCGTGCCGGGCTGCGACGACCGCACGGGGTTCGCCGTCGCGCCCTCGCGGAACCGCACCTCCATGTTCGACCCGGGCATGCGCAAGCCTGAGCCATCCGGGCTCGCCATCTCCATCCAATCCCGAAACCGTAAGTCAAGAATCCGTGTTGAAGAAGGCTTGAAGACGCGTTGCTGCGACGACGTCCTAGCGTCGTTGAGCGGCGTCCCGGTGGCGTCCCGGCGCGCCGTGGCGCGTCCCTAGGAGTTCGCCCCGGCGCGTCCACAGGATGGCCGAGTCGCGCCGCGCGCGGCGGCCGCCGGGCTCGTGGCGGGCCGGAGCCCTCACACTCAGGCTCTCGTACGGCGCAGTAGCCACCTTCGCGCCTCGCGGACGACGCAGTAGCCGCCTCGCGGTACGTGAACCACGTCATTAAACCACGGACGCGCGGGGTGGCGGCGAGCGGGAGCCGTAGTAGCCCGCGCGCTCGAGGAGCGTGATGGGCACGGGCTCCTCGCGCTTGCGGCCGAGGCGCACGAAGCCCGACGCCGGCGGCGCGGACTTGAGCAGGGGCTTGAGCAGGTCCTCGTGGCCGTCCTCGAATCGCACGAGGATGCGCTTCTTGACGACGCCGACGACGAGCGCCGTGTCGCGCTTCGGCGGGTCCTCGTCGTCGCCCCAGTGGAGGCCGCCCGCGGCCGACCCGCGCGCGGGCGACTCCGCGAAGCTCTGGGGGAGCTGAATCGTCCAGCCCACGAGCGCCGCCAGGTGGCCCTCGGCCGCCGACGCGAGCGCGCCGCGCCGCTCCGCCTCGACCTGCTGCAGGTCCGCGAGGCGCTCCGCGCCCGCGGAGAGGCGGTGCGCGTCGCGGAGCTCGCGCCGCGCGAGCCTGCGGCGCGCGCGGTGTCCCGGGGAACGACGTCGGACGTTTCCGCTCGAGCGACGCGCGCGGTTTCCCGGGAAACGACGTCGGACGTTTCCGCTCGAGCGAGCGGTGTCCCGGGAAACGACGTCGGACGCCGCCGCTCGCTCGCTCAGGCGCCCGCGCTCGCCGTCCGCCGCGGCCCACTCGCGCTCGAGCAGGTCCGTCTCGAAGAAGGCGGCGAGGACGTCCGCGAAGGGCGGCCGCCCCTTGCGCGGCCCCCAGCACGCGGGCACGAGGCGCCGCAGGGACGCCGGCGCCGTGTGGTCGAACTTGGGCCGCGAGCCGCGCTTGATGGAGTTGAGCACGGCGACGGGCGCCATGTCGCGGTAGGGCGCGCCGCAGAAGGGCCGCGCGCGCGCCCAGACGGACCAGCCGACCATGCCGTAGGAGTAGACGTCCGCGCTCGCGCCGTAGCGCGCGCGGCTCGCGGCCTGTGTGCAAATCAACCAGTGAGCTGGGACGTCGGGGCCAAACTTGAGAATTCTCTAGCTCGGTCAAATCGAAGTCGATTCGGCTGATTTTTGGACGAATCGATTGCTCTCAGCGAGTTCTCGAAGCACGGCGGAAGTGCTGTGTCAAAAAAATCGAATACGCGCACATTGAAGTCGGGTTGAAGATTTGATTTGCACACAGCTCGCGGCGACCATGAGCTCCGGCGCCATGTAGAGCGGTGTGCCGATCATCGCCGTGAGCGTGAGGTTCGACTTGGCCACGGACGCGGACGTGTTCGTCGACAGCCCAAAGTCCGCGAGCTTGCAGGACGCGGCCTGCGCCCGCTCGTCGAAGCCCTTGACTAAAATGTTCTCGGGCTTGAGGTCGCGGTGCAGCACGCGGCGCCCGTGGAGGAAGGCCATGCCCTCGGCGACCTCGCGCATGACGCGGCCCCGGAGGCCGCCGCCGAGGCGGAGCCGCGCCTCGAAGAGGAGGCCGTGGAGCGAATCGCCGCAGAGCTCCATGGCGATCAGGACCTGCGTCCGGCACACGGCGACGCCGTAGAGCGCGACGACGCGGTCGTGCGTCACGGACCGGTGGAGCTCCGCCTCCTTGAGCACCTCGCGCATCATGCCCGTCGGGTTCGAGTGGCGCGAGAAGTTGACGCACTTGACCGCCGCGTCGCGGCCCTCGACGCGCGCGCGCCGCACCGTGCCGCACGCGCCCTCGCCGATCTTCCCGAAGAGCTCGATTTTCGACGCGTCGAGGACGCCGCTCCGGTCCGCGCGCGCCTCCTGGGCCAGGAGCGCCTCGTCGAGGGAGTGGCGGTCCGGCTCGCCCTCGCTCTCGCAGGCGCTGCTCCAGCCGCCGGACGACGCCGTGTCGCCGTAGGCCTCGTCGTCCGACTCGGGCGCCGGCCGCTTCGCGCAGCACCAGGGGCAGAGGTCGCGCAGCTTCATCGGGCCCGCCGTAGTGCAGAGAGATGGTGGTCGAGGGCTCGGGCTCCGTAGGGTTGCGCGCAGATGTCGAGGGCTGGTCTGGCTCGGGCCCGGGCGGGCTGCCACTCGCAATACTTCAAGCTGCAAGTTGAAGGGCAACGACTCAGCGAGGGCTCTGCGTATGCGTGCCTCCGCTCTCCTCGTCTGCCTCGCCGCCGCTTCCGCCGTCACCCCCCGCGGTGGCGCCCTCGACGCGCAGCGACGCGACCGCTGCGCCGGTGCACAACAGCTAGCAAACCATCGCGGTCGCTCTGCCGCTGCGCTCGACGCAGCGCGCGACCGCTGCGCCGCTGCACAAACCATCGAGGTCGAGCTCGGATCGCCGGACGGCGCGGCGGCGCCGCCGCCGATGACGGTCGACCAGGAGGGCCCGACGCCCTGGCTCCAGGTCGCCGTCTGCGCCGGCCTCTACGCGGCGCCGTCCATGCTCGTCGTCGCGCCGGCGCTCGTCGACGCGAAGATCGAGAGCGAGACGGGCTGGCCCGCGTCGGCGCTCACCGTGGCGTCGAGCCTCATGTTCGCCGCGTCGGCGCCCGGGGCGCTCGTCGGCGCGTCGGCCGCGGACGTCAAGGGCCGGCGGCCCCTGGCCGTGGCCATGACGGCGGGCACGGGCGCGTGCCTCGCGCTCGCCGCCGTCGCGCCGCGGGGCTCCGGCGGCGCCGTGCTCTTCGGCGCCGCGCGCGTCGCCGGCGGCCTCATCTCGGGCGGCGCGGCGCCGACGTGCTTCACCTGGGCCATGGAGCTCACGCCGAAGCGGTCGGCGGTGCGGGCCGCCACGGCGATGAACGTGCTCTGGGTCGGCGGGCCGCTCTACGTCGCTATGCTGCACGTGCTCTGCGCGCGCTGGTCCTGGCGGCTCGAGGTGCTCGGGCTCGCCGCGTTCGCGCTGGGCTTCGCGGCGCTCGCGCAGGCGACCGTGCCCGAGTCGCCGGAGTTCCTCGCGAGCCGGGAGGAGAAGATCGCCGCGCGGCCGTCGTCGAGCGGCGCGGAGGTCTACGGCCTCGTCGGCGAGATCGACGACGAGCCCGACGCGATTCCCGAGAAGCTCGCCGCGCGCGAGGCCGCGGGGCCCCTGGCGGCGCTCCTCGGCGACGCGGCGACGCGCGACCCCCTGCTGAAGCTCATCGTCGTCTGGGGCTGCGTGTCCATGTCCTACTACGGCCTCACGTTCTGCGCGGGGTCGCTGTCGGACCGCGTCGTCGCGAACTTTGTTCTTCTCAACGCCGCGGACGTGCCGGGCTACGCGCTCGCGGGCTACGCGACGAAGCGCACCGGCGCGCCGGAGCGCATCCTCGTGGGCTTCGCCGGCGCCGCGGGCGCGGCGCTCCTGGGCCTCGCGCTCGGCGCGCCGACGCTGCTCGCGATCTTCGGCAAGTTCTGCACCGCGGGCATGTTCCAGCAGATCTACAGCATCACGACGGACCGCTTCGAGCCCGACGTCCGCGCGACGGCCTTCGGCACCTGCCGCGTCGCGGCCATGCTCGCGACCTTCGCGTCGCCGCCCCTGGCGTCCCTGCCGCTCGCCGCCGCCGCGCTCGTCTTCGCCGCGTGCTGCGGCGTCGTCGCCGCGCTCACGCTCGCGCTCCGATAGCATCTGGTTTACGTTCCGGGGGCCGCTTAGGCGATGGCGCAGGAGCCGTTCTTCTTCGCCGGCTGCGCGTAGTAGGGGCGCGCGGGGGCCACTTAGGCGATGGCGCAGGAGCTGTTCTTCTTCGCCGACTGCGCGTAGTAGGGCTTGTGGCCCACGGGGCAGTTGATTTCCGTGACGTCCTGCACGGCCCAGGGCTTCTTGTCCGCGTCCTGCCACTCCTTCATACTTTTCGCCGTCCAGGAGCTGCCGGGCTTGGACTCGAAGACGCACCACCTGCGGAGGCGAGCGGTCGGCGGGCGCGCGCGGATGAGTCGTCGAGCGGGCGGCGTCCGGACGGCGCGCGCGGATGAGTCGTCGAGCGGGCGGCGTCCGGACGGCGCGCGCGGATGAGTCGTCGAGCGGTCGGCGCGCGCGGATGATTCGTCTCTGCGTCGGCGACTGGCGCGCGGAAAGAAAGATTCGGCGGTTTCGCGAGATCGTCGGCGACCGGCGCGCGGCGCGCGGAAATCGTGAGATCGTCGGGTCGGCGTTGACGCGGCGCGCGGAATGAAAGGGAGATCATCGGACGCAGTCGCACCCACCCGATCTTCACGTCGCCGTTCGCCGACGACGGGAAGTTGACGGAGAGCTGGTGGAGGTCCTTCTTGTGGAGGCCCTCATCTCCCTCATTGATCGGGTCGCAGTTGGGGAGGGAGCCGATCATGGCCTCGACGTTCTCCTTGTAGAACTTCGAGTCGGTGACATTGTGGGTGACGACAAAGAAGGGCATCTTTTGTAGCGAGCGAGGGTGGAAACGGGGCGGGACGGCGGCGGCGACGACGGCGGGCACGGAGAAGATGCGCTTTCTTGGTGGCGAGGGTGGAAACAGGCGACGCGGCACGCAAAATCGACGCCTAAATCGACCACTTGGCGCCGCGCCGCCGGCGCTGCCCGCACCAATGCGTCCGTCGGCGGCGACGTCGCCTCGGAGTAACGCTCCAACCACCGTCACGAGGACACCTCCTTGGAACACAGCTTAACGCGCGCGGGTTTCACGCGCCGGCGTTGTCGTTCTGCTCGACGCGCTCGTCGGAGAGCGTGCGGATGAGCGAGTCGAGGCGCGCGGTCTCGAAGGACGTGAGGAGGGGCTGGGCGCTGGAGGCCTGGGACGTGGCCTTGGCGAGGGGCCGGCCCTCGAGGTCCGCGCCGTGGCCCGCGGTCTCGACGCGGCGGAGCGCGGCGCCCTCGAGGTGGCGCGCGTCGGCCGGGATGGCCTCGAGGAGCGGGTCGTGGAGCGCGGCGCCGTCGAGGGAGTGGGGCGCGTAGCCCAGGGCGCCGACGTCGGGCACGGGGAGCGGCGCGGAGAGGCGCGCGAGGCCAGCGTCGAAGTCGCGCGCGGAGCCCGACCGCGCGCGCTTCGCGGGCGAACCGGGGGGCTCGTCGGCGAAGCCCGCGAGGGGGTCCAGAGGCAGCACGGGGGGCGCTGTCGGCCGCGTAGTGCTCCGGGTCCGGCGGGAGCCGGTCGAGGATGCGGTCGATCTGGCGCTGCAGGGTCGCGACGGTCCCCCGGAGCTCGCCGACCTCGCGCTCGAGCTCGAGCTGGCGCTGGCGCTGGGCCGCGACGTCCGGCGACGCGTAGTCGTAGTGCTCCGCGCGCCGGATCTGCACGAGGAGCTCGGGCCGGCCCCGGCGGAAGTTGACGTGCTTGAACTCCCAGCGCGGCGGCGTCGAGGGCCCCGCGCTCGGGTCCGCGCGGAGCTTGCGGAAGCCGTAGAAGTTGAGCTGGCGCACGAAGCTCCGGAAGTTGTTGTGCTTGAAGTACTGCGGGATGACCTCGGACGCGAAGTTCTCCGCGTCCAGGATGACCATCGAGTCGCCCGCGTCGCTCCAGCCGCCCACGGTGCCGTCCAAGCCGTTGATCATCGCGTACGTCTTCGAGAGGAACGCGGACGCCTCGCTCTGCTCGCGCCGCCGCCGCGGCTTCATGTTCGGCGCCTCGCCCTGCTCCGGCAGGGCCGCCGGCGCGTCGTTGCGGGAGGCCGACGCGCGCGTGGACCGGCGCGACGCCATGGCGTCGGTTTCCGTGGTTGCACTCGTGCGGCTGCTGTTGTGGTAACTTGTGGAGCGGTCGGCGCGGTCAGGACTTGAGCCGGTTTGCGCGGGACGACAGTCGAGTGGCTGGGTTTGCGCGGGTCGACAGTCGAGTGCGGGAAGGTGGCGCGGGACGACAGTCGAGTGGCTGGGTTTGCGCGGGACGACAGTCGAGTGCGGGAAGGACTTGAGTGGTGGCGCGGGACGACAGTCGAGTGCAGGAAGGCGGCCGGGACGACCTTCGAGTGGTTGCAGCCGGCTTCGATCGAAGTCCTCTCCTCCTGTCCGCAGGTGTGGCAAATTGCCGGCTTCGCCGACTCCTTGCCCTTGGCGCGCTCGCGTATGCGTGCTCGCTTGCTCGCTTGCACGCTTGCTCGCCTTCAACCTTGCCATCTCCCACTGCCACGCTCTACGCGCTGCCCTCCGTGTGACGCGCGCTTCATCGCTCCGCCGTGTGACGCGCGCTTCATCGCTCCGCCCTATAACACGCGCTTCATCGCTGCGAACAATGGCCGCGCAAGCGCAAAAGTTCCCGGCGGACATCGTCGACTGCCATCATCACTTCATTGAACCCCAAAACAACGCCTTCCAGGGTTTTCTCAAGAGTCTGGGCGCGCCGAACTACACCTGCGAGCAGTACGCGTCGGACTGCGGCGCGCTGCCTATCTCCAAGACCGTGCACGTCGAGGCCATGCCCGACGACGGCGTCGCCGAGGCCGCGTGGGTCGAGTCGCTCGCGGATCGCCACAAGGTCGCGGCCGTCGTCGCCAAGTGCGACCTGAGCGCGCCGGACGCGGCGGCGGTCCTCGACGGCCTCGCGGCCTGCGCGCCGAAGCTGCGCGGCGTCCGCTTCATCCTCGACTACGACGGCCCCTTCGGCGAGGACAACGCGACGCACGTCCAGTGCTCGCTCCACGGCCTCGACTACCTCCGCGACCCCGAGCCCGCGGCGGCCTTCGAGCGGGGCTTCGCGTCCCTGGCGGCGCGGGGCCTCAGCTTCGACCTCCAGTGCTGCCCGGCGCAGCTGCCGGCGGCCGCGGCGCTCTGCGCGAAGCACCCGGACGTCGCGGTCGTCATAGACCACCTCGGCAAGCCGCGGCACCTGAGCCAAGCGCGGGACCCCTTCGACGCCAAGGCCATCGACGCGTGGCGCCGCGGCATGGCGCTCATGGCCGCCCAGCCCCAGGTCTGCGTCAAGCTGTCCATGCTCGGCTTCGCCGTGCCCGGCTGGACGGAGCACGACGGCAAGCGGGCCCTCGTCAAGTCGCTCGTCAAGGAGACCGTCGACCTCTTCGGGCCCGACCGCTGCATGTTCGCGTCGAACTGGCACATCAACGGCGCCGTGAGCAACAGCGACGGCGCCGACTCGTGCGAGGTCACCATGCCCGAGCTCTACGCGACCTTCCAGGCCTGGGTCGACGACTGGGGCCTCGACGCCGCCGCGCAGCGCGCGCTCTTCGCGGGCACCGCGGCGACGTTCTACCGCCTCTAGGTCCAATAAACAACACGAGCTTAGACGACGTCGTAGAAGGCGAGGTAGGCCGTCATGAGCATGTAGCCGCCGCAGCCGTCGGTGAGCGTGACGGGGTCGAGGTAGACGTGGTCCAGCGCGGACGTCCAGCGCGCGTCGTCGTCGCCGTAGGACTGGGCGCGGTACGTGAGCTCGTTTGTGGCGCCGAGGTCGACGGATGCCGTCACGTCGAAGACGTGGGCGTCGACGGGCGAGCCGTCGCACCAGCCGTCGCGGCCGTAGTTCCACGTGCCGTGCTCGTTCGGCTCGACGCCGTTCCTCACCTCCTCGACGCAGCCCCACATGGTGCCCGCGTGGAAGAACTCGACGGAGTAGGTCTCGCCGTTGATGTCGTAGTGGTGGGACGTGGGCTCGAACTCGCAGTCGCCGTGGCCCGAGATCGTCGCGACGAGCTCGACGCGCGTCGCCGCCGCGGGCGCGTCGAAGGTCACGGTCTTGTTCGCGTTGTAGCTCGCGAGCGAGTCGAAGTCGCGCTCGTAGTCGTCGTCCGTCGAGTCGCCCGGGAAGACGAGCTCGAGGAGCGTCGCCGGCGCGTCCGCGGGCGCGGCGTCGTAGTCCTCGAAGCGGAGGTCGACCGTCAACGCCCAGCCCGTGCCCGAGGTGACCTTGGCCGACACGTTGCACGTGCCGCCGTCGCCGCCGCCGGCGAACAACAGCGGCATCAGCGCCGTGCGGTCGCTGCGCCAGCGGCCGACGTCGCGGCGGAACGGCGTCACGTAGCGCGCGAGCTCGTTCGGCTCGCCGCCGACCTCGAGCCGCCGGTGCGGGTTCGGCGCCGCCGCCGGCGTCACCGGCGCCAGATTCACGGTGGCGCTCACGTCCGTGGCGCCGCCGCAGTCGGCCCAGATGGTCACGCAGTGGTCCCAGTCCGCGCACGACTGGTCCGTCTGCCCGTCGTTGTGGCACGTGAGCTCCGTCTCGATCACCAGCGACGAGAAGTGGCGCAGGAAGTCCTTGGGCGGCAGCGTCACCGTGCGCGCCGGGCTCTCGGTCATGTCGTTGAGCACGTCGGCGTCGAAGACGGGCACGACGAACGCGCCCGACGCCTCGTCGGCGACGTCGAGGTTCGAGAGGTACTCGAGGTAGACGGCCTCCCACTGGACGAAGCGGAAGTCCTGGACGTAGCGGTAGCCCAGGTTGTACAAGTTCCCCCGCGCGTCGACGGCGACGAAGAAGCCCGGCCCCAGCGACTCCGTCAGGTTCAGGGTCACGTTCGCGTCGTCGCCCATCAACGCCTCGATGCGCGCCGCGTCGCCCTCGGAGATGGTCGTGCCGAGCTGGCCGTACCAGCTGCTGTCGTAGGTGCCCACGGGCTCCAGGAGCGGGTTCGCCGACGCGACGATGGCCCCGGCGGCGCTCGTGCCCCAGAAGACGCGCTCCGCGGCCTCGGTCAGCGAGTCGCACGACGCCGCCGTGACGAGCGCGTAGCTCTCCGCGCCGAACTTGCCCGTGTCGAAGTCGTCGGCGCAGGCGTCGCCGCCGGGGACGACGGTGATGGAGTCGAGGGCGCCCGCGGCGCTGCACCACTCGAACTTGCAGTCGAGGCGCAGGCCGGAGATGGCCTCGCCGCCGGCGGACGCCGCCCAGCCGTAGCGCGCGGAGCGCCAGAGCGGCTGGGACAGGATGGCGATGAGCTCGCCCGACGCCTCCTCGAGGGGCGTCCGCGCGAAGTAGAGCTGCTCCGGCGCCTCGCCGACGGCGTCGACGAAGCGCCCGCGGAGCTTCGCGACGGCCGCGGCGCCCCGCTCGCCGTAGCCCGCGAAGAGCACGGAGACGCCGCCGGGCGCGTTCTCCGCGAAGCTCCGCAGGGAGTCGGCGGACTCGGCCATCCAGCGCATCCAGGGGTCGACGCCGTCCAGCGCGACGATGATCATCGGCAGGTTGCCGTACTTACTCCGGTAGATCTCGCTGTACTCGAACGTCGTGTTGTCGACGAGCGCGAGGTGGAAGTCGGGCATGGGCGACCCGATGGGGTAGCCGCTGTAGGCGTCGAGGCCCGCGCCGTCGTCGTCGCGCGCCTCCAGGGCCGGGCCGCCGCCGGCGCCCCAGGTGGCCAGGTCGCTGCCCCAGACGGCGCCGACCGTCGCGGCGAAGACGAGGGACCCGAGCGCGACGAGGCGCCGCACGCGGCCGACGGAGGCCTCGAGCGTCCGCACGGACGCGCCGGACGAGTCCAGGCCCAGCGTCTCCTTCGGGGGCTGCCCATCCCCGAGGAGGGAGGATGCCTCCATCGTGCGGCACCCGATATGGGCAACTACGGCCCGGAGTAGAGTAAAACAGCCGACGATGATGATGGACGATTTTGGCAAGCCCACTTGACTCTCCGAGATATAATATGCGCCCACGTGCCCTCTGAGAGTTCGGAAGGAAGCATGGGGATCCGCTAGCTTGGCTAGCCGTCACCGCCGCCGCCATGGCGCCGCAGCAGCGGGACATGCGCGTGGAATCCGTGGGCAGCCTCTGCGACTCCACCTACGCCGGCGGCGCCGCCGCCATTCGCCCCGCGCCGGAGGCCACGTTCAGCGACGACGACGACGGCGGCACGCTCCGGTCGTCGAGCGCCATGGCGGCGCCCGGCGGCAAGCGGAGCACGCTCGCGCCGCTGCCCGAGCCGCCGCCGCGGCGGAGCGCGTCGCCGCCGGCGCGGACGATGACGCCGCCGCTGAGCATCGGCGCCGCGTTCCAGATCGCGGAGGGCGACCTCGACATCGGCGACGTCATCGGGTCCGGCGCCTTCGGCACGGTCAAGGCCGCCCGGTGGCGCCACACGCCCGTCGCCGTCAAGGTGCTCTACCACGACGCGCGCGCGGACGACCGCCAGCTCTTCGAGAAGGAGGTGCAGCTCATGGCGACGCTGCACCACCCGAACATCGTCCAGTTCCTGGGCTACGCCCACACGCCGGCGCTGGCGCTCGTCCTGGAGATCTTCGAGAACGGCTCCATCGAGGCCTACGTGCCCGCGAAGGCGCCCGGCGTGAAGCGGTCGCACGGCTTCTGCGTCGACATGGCGCGCGCGGTCGAGTACCTCCACAGCCGGCGGCCGCGCCTCGTGATCCATCGCGACATCAAGCCGCCGAACTTCCTGCTGACGACGTCGCTGGTCGTGAAGCTCGGCGACTTTGGCATCGCGCGGACGCGCCAGGGCCCGCCGCGGCCCGCGCGCGACCTCGACTCCAGCGACGAGGGCGCGCCGCCGACGCCGGAGCGGCCCCGCGCGAAGAGCTTCGGGGAGAAGCTGCTGACGCGCATGCGCCAGGGCAGCGCCGAGTCCGACGACGCGACGGATCTCACGGCGAACTGCGGCACGGTCCGCTTCATGGCGCCCGAGGTCGCGTCGCCGGGGCCCAGCGTGCCCTACACGTCCTCGGCTGATGTGTTCTCCCTCGCCCTCGTCTTCTACTTCATCTACGAGCGCAAGCAGCCGTCCCTGGGGGCGACGAACCCCGCGGGGCACCTCGCCGCGCTCCGCGGGGGGAACCGGCCGCCCTTCCACCGCACGCCCCGGGTCATGCGCGACCTCATCGGCCGCATGTGGGCCCTCGACGAGCGCGACCGGCCCACGGCCATGGAGGTGTCCACGCACCTCGACAAGATGCGCTGCAAGCCCATCGCGCTCGGGTCGTCCTGGGCGCTCGTCATCTAAGCACAGCGGAGCGCCGCGAGCCGACGGCCGATGCCGGCGGCGGCCTCCCACAATGGGCGGGCTCGTACACACGCACTTACTCCACGCCGAGGACGGTCGCCACGGGGAGCGGCGCGTCGTCCGCGGCGACGCCCGCGGCCGCGAGCTCGTCGGAGACACGGTCGAGGTAGGTCGCGTCCGGGTAGCCGTGCTCCGCGGCGCCGCCGGTCCTCTGCGTCTTGTGGTGGATGCCCGCCCAGACGACGCAGTCGCTCCGGCCCGTCGTGAGGCTCGTGCCCACGTTGAAGACGAGCCGCCGCTCGAACGCGACCGCGAGCCGCGCGAAGACGGCGTCGCCCTCGGGCGTCGGCAGGTAGCAGCGCCGGTACGTGCCGGAGAAGGGCCGGCCCGGGTTCGGGTGGCGGTCGCCCTGGACGCCGTCGTCGAAGTCGTACTCGACGACGCGCGTCCGGGACCCGAAGCGGAAGCCCGGCAGCGCCCGGTCCTCGACCCAGTCGCGCATGACGCCGTTGTCCGGCTGGCCGCCCGTCCGCACGCCGACGGAGACGCCGCAGACCCCGCACCGCCCCGCGCCGCCGGCGAGCCACCGCAACGCGCATGCCTCGTGCTGCGGGTGCACCGCCGTGCACCCGAGCAGCTGCACGGCGCGCAGACCTACCACATGCGTCGGTCACGATCGTTTCCCCGGTCGACATCTCTCGAAAGTCGTCGTGGCCGCGGGACGCCGGCGCGAACTCGCGTCGTCCGCGAAGTCGTCGCCGCAGATGGGGCACGCCGGCGCGGCCGCGAGCTCCGCGGCCGTCGCGTCGCGCATGCGCGGCGGCGGCGGGCCCGCGGGCGGCGGCGGCGGCTCCGGCGCCGCCGCGCCGCCGACGCGGCGCACGTCCCGCCGGAAGCGCGTCCGCGTGTTCTCCTGCGACATCGACGCGAAGTCGACGTCGTAGCGCGTGCCGCGGAAGGCGAAGGACGCGCCCGCGTCGCCGCGGCCCGACGCCGCCTCGAGCGCCGCGCTGTCGGCCGGCGAGAAGGGCACCCAGCGGCCGCCCTCGCGGAACTCCCACGCGGCGCCGGAAGAGGCCGCGCGCGCGGCCGCCGACACGGCCGCGGGCACGACGGCGCCGACGCGGCGCACGTCGCGCGCGAAGCCCGTGCGCTGGTTCACCTGCTCGAGGTTGGTCACGAGCACGACGTAGCGCGCGTTGCCGAGGGTGACGGGCCGCGCGTCGCGGGCCTGGTGCGCCGCCTCGATCTTCGCCGAGTCCGACGGCGCGTAGTCCTTCCAGCCGTAGTCGTCGCGCCACTGCCACAGCGCGGCCATGTCCTACTTGGTAGGCACTCGGGCCTGCGCACGCGGCGCACTTGGTAGGCTCTCGGGCCTGCTCACGCAGCGGCGCACTTGGTAGGCTCTCGGGCCTGCTCAGCGGCGCGCGAACGCTCCAATGCACGGCTCAGATGATGGACTCGGCGGGCATCATGTCGATGATGAAGCCTCATTGAACCCTCATTGACGCCCACACTTGTCCGCACTCCTCCACACCACTTCACACCCGCTTGCTTCTAAACAGGCTTTCAAAAGTCGGAAAATGGCGGAGTTAGAGTATGGTGCAGGGCGCGCGCGGGGGTGGCGTCTGTGTACAGCGGCGGCGGCGGGGGAGGCGCGGCGGAGGGACCGCGCTCACTTGTCCTCGAGGGACGCGGCGAGGGCCTGCTTGAGCGCGAGCTCGTCGCCGTCGTCGGCGGCGTCGGCCGGGAGCGTGCGCGGCGCCGTGGAGACGAGGACGAGCTCGTTCTCGTCGTCGGACTCGAAGAGCGGGTCGTCGGGCGACGCGAGGCTCGGGAACGACTCGAGGACCCGGGGGTCCGCGGCGTTTGGGGCCTCGAGGGGGGCCTTGGCCTCGAGGCTGACGTCGGCCGTGACGTCCTCCAGGGACCGCGCGATGGCCTCGCGGAGCGCCGCGTCCGCGGCCGCCGCGAGCGCCGCGGGGTCGGCCGCCGCGGCGTCGTAGGCCGGCGGCGGCGGCGGCGGCGCGGGCGCGCGGACGCGCGCGTCGGCGTGGGCCGCGGCGACGACGTCCGCCGCCTCGGCCGGGTCGCGGATGGCGACGAAGCGCCGCTTGCGGTCGTCCGGGAGCTTGCCGTACTCGGCGTCGCAGAGGTCGTAGTCCTCGCCGACGAGGTGCCAGCGCGTGCCGACGATGGGGCACATGTT